TAGATAAATTAACAAGAAATTTCCTTACATGTCCTATTACTATGAAATCTACCTGTCCATATATAAAGTTCTGAAGAATTCAATTTATTAAATATATCATTCATTATTAATTAATTCAATAACGTATTCCATCAGTATATTTGTCCCTTGATCAAATGTTACTTCCTATTGATACAGCCATCCATATTACTACTAAATCCACCGGTCCAATATTCCATTGACCTATGGTTGATTATAACCTTCAAATTTTGATTATAACAAACAAGTTAATCTTGTTTGCTAACAATTGAATTTAAAGTGATTATAGTTTTTAAAATATCCAATTAAAGTTTTGATTATAACAAACAAGTTAATATTGTTTATTAATAATTGAATTTAAAGTAATTATAGTTTTCAAAGCATCCAATAAAAAATTGTTCGAAAAGATCAAAAACTATTATCACAATTGAATTCATTAAAAGGTCAAGATCGAAGTCACACATTCAAGAGCTTAAGAACCAAACTTCGAAATAAGATCAATGATTAGATTTCTTAGATCAATTGTAAAGATACTAATACTTTAATATTTAGCAACAAATGTTTAAACTCAAACTCTTTCTATAACAAAGCGACATACGAATTACTGTGAAAATTTTGATTTATAACCTTAAAATTTTGATTATAACAAACAAGTTAAACTTGTTTGCTAACAATTGAATTTAAAGTGATTATAGTTTTTAAAATATCCAATTAAAGTTTTGATTATAACAAATAAGTTAATATTGTTTATTAATAATTGAAGCATCCAATAAAAAATTGTTCGAAAAGATCAAAAACTATTATCACAATTGAATTCATTAAAAGGTCAAGATAGAAGTCACACATTCAAGAGTTTAAGAACCAAACTTCGAAATAAGATCAATGATTAGATTTCTTAGATCGATTGCAAAATGTTTTAATACTTTAATATTTAGCAACAAATGTTTGAACTCAAACTCTTTTTATAACAAAGCGACATACGAATTACTGTGAAAATTTTGAATTATAACCTTAAAATTTTGATTATAACAAACAAGTTAATCTTGTTTGCTAACAATTGAATTTAAAGTGATTATAGTTTTTCAAATATCCAATTAAAGTCTTGATTAGAACAAACAAGTTAATATTGTTTATTAATAATTGAATTTAAAGTAATTATAGTTTTCAAAGCATCCAATAAAAAATTGTTCGAAAAGATCAAAAACTATTATCACAATTGAATTCATTAAAAGGTCAAGATCGAAGTCACACATTCAAGAGTTTAAGAACTAAACTTCGAAATAAGATCAATGATTAAATTTCTTAGATCGATTGCAAAATGTTTTAATACTTTAATATTTAGCAACAAATGTTTAAACTCAAACTCTTTCTATAACAAAGCGACATACGAATTACTGTGAAAATTTTGAATTATAACCTTAAAATTTTGATTATAACAAACAAGTTAATCTTGTTTGCTAACAATTGAATTTAAAGTGATTATAGTTTTTCAAATATCCAATTAAAGTTTTGATTATAACAAACAAGTTAATATTGATTATTAATAATTGAATTTAAAGTAATTATAGTTTTCAAAGCATCCAATAAAAAATTGTTCGAAAAGATCAAAGACTATTATCACAATTGAATTCATTAAAAGGTCAAGGTCGAAGTCACACATTCAAGAGCTTAAGAACCAAACTTCGAAATAAGATCAATGATTAGATTTCTTAGATCAATTGTAAAGATACTAATACTTTAATATTTAGCAACAAATGTTTAAACTCAAACTCTTTCTATAACAAAGCGACATACGAATTACTATGAAAATTTTGAATTATATATTTAAAATTGATCTCGTGTACACACCCCGTACAAAGATATGATTGCTTTCATTTTCTCACATATTAAAAAAAATAAAATTAATATAGTCAAAACAAAAATAAAATTACTTATATTTTTTTTCTAATGTACCACTATATTTAATAGTGGTTTAAATAGGAGCAGTTTGTTTTGTTGATAACAAGGCACATATTTTATGAACTTATTAGAAAATTAAGTAATTAATTATACTATAAAAAATAAATTGGCTACAATTAGGGACAAATGAAAAAGGAAAGTTTGTTTATCTCTATGGGATAGAGAGAGTATTAAGTTTAATTGAATGTCACATCTATTAAAAAATTAATTGAATTAAATCTTTTTACGGTAATGTGAGGAAAAAATGATACATTTAATTATGGGACGCGGTAATTAAAAGCCTAAGAGGACACAAATTAAAACCAAAAACCGTTATTATTGACAACTAAGTTCTAATCAGTTAATCAGACATAATTTTTCGCAAATATAATTAACTGTGTGGATTATAGAGATCTACAAATATAATTAAAACATAATTATCACTAATTAAATTAATTAATTTGACCACTTGGGTAAGTTGCATAATTAGACGCGAGAATTTAGGTACCCGTGGAGCCTGTCCTGAATGGAGCTGAGATTATACGCTTAATTAGGTATTCGGGTCGGTGGGCAGAACTTAGACCCGAGGTGAGTATATATAGCAAGGGTCCAATCCTGCTTAGCTCTCTCTTTTTTTTTCTTTTTTTTTGTCCTTCTCTCTCTCATTTTTCTAAGAATTCATTACTTTAAACGGAAAAATTTCACGAAATGTTTTTAGTTTTAAAAGACGATAGCAACTAAAATTATTTAAGGAATATGACAAACAATAAAAATATTAATTTATCAATTATATTTGAATAATTTAACTTATAAAGATAAATAAATTAATTTAAAATTTTAATAAATATATTATTGTCCTACTTTAATAAATGAAGGTAATTAAATAAACTATCAAAAATTTTAAAAAAATTTAAACGGGGAATAAACGGCTCCGTCTCGCCCCATTGCCTCCCCACGGGGATTATAATAATCACTATCAGGCCTCACCCGTGCTATGGCTGTACAGTTGTCATGTGCTGTTCGTGCGGTTAAAATTGATGCCGTAAAACGATTTTTAACCGGAAAAAGTAGTCTCCAACGAACTTTTTGGCCACGCGCATAACCCAGACATGTAAAGCAAGAAAATGACAATAGTAGAGATTGATTAACACGCGTTAATATAATAGCGTCAGCAGACACCATCTCGGGAGTAGGAAGGAGAACCGTACAAAGGTGACTTATAAATGGCGGCGAAACCTAGGTTGCCCACCCATGTGTTCTAGTTGTAAAAGTAATTTATAAATTCTCTATAATTCAAAACATTGGTTTAAAGAAGTTAAAACATTGCCCCCCGTTGGCCCCATCTTCTTGAAAAAGAAATGAGTGGAATAGTATTTTTAAAAAAAAAATAAGTGATTAAAAAAAAATTTTTTTTTTCGATTTACGTGTAATATTATTTTATATGAAATTATGTAGTTAAAAATAGGAGAGAGAAAAATAAAATATAATGTAATGAAAATTAATGGGGGCCAAATGAAGGAATTATATGTATGAAATAAAGTTATATAATAGTTTATATACGATGAGATGGCAAAAAAAGAGTAGATATTTTGTTATTTGGTTCAAAAAATTCTAATTCGACATATTTCACTACATTGTGTGTATATAAATCATTATATCCATGTATCACAATTTAAACTTTTTCACCCACTTGCCATTCTAATTAACCAAAACGCCCCAAGTCTTGCAAAAAAGGGCGAATAAAGGCTTAGACCCTGTTTGGTGGGTATTAAAATCAAATTTTTATTAGATTTTTGATAAAATTTAATGAAATATATTATTGGAAAGTTATGAAATCTATGAAATATGTGATTAAAATTTATTGTTCACTTTGGTTTAGATTAAAATTAAAATTTTAATCGTATCAAACATGGCCTAATTTTATTAATTTATTATTACGTCATAATTTGTCGAGGGCTATGCATTAAATACATCGGTGGTCGTGTGTTAGAGTAGATAGAGTTGTTGTAAAGCACGACAACCTTTTAATTTTGTCGTGAATTTTCCAATTCAGCATCTCGAATACGTCAGTTATTGTATGTCAGAGGTGGAGAGCATCGAACTGTCCAATTTTGCACAATACATATAATGCTAATTTTGTGTCAAAGTAGATAGAGTTGTTGCAAAACACGACAAACTTATTTTTGTCTTGAAATTTTCAGTCTAGTTGGATAAATACGTCATTATTGTTATGTCAGATTTGCAGAGCATTGTATACGACATTCGATCACGTGCGACATACCTTTATTGTTGAGTCACGTGAAAGGCTTAATGCATCTGGTTACAATGTAAACAATAGTGCTTGCATTTTTAAGTTAGAATTGCTTGAATTGAACAAGAATCGAATTGAACCCTAGTAAAAGTCTAAACATAGTTAGGTTGCTCATGTTCAATTCTATAACTGTGTATAAAACCGAATGTTCTTTGTGCAAGATTTTTCATAAAAAAAATAATTGGATCTAGAATCGACTAATATTGATCTATGCAACCTATGGTGTACATGACCAAAAAGTGAATCGACCAGAGAGTAAATTAGTCAAAATACAAATGGCAAAATAATTTGACCGACATGACATATTTTAACCGGCCCCGGGCATCGTGGGCATTACCCTCACGTGACTGGCCACACGTACTTCAAGACAGGAAAAATCATGCATTTAGCACCATTTGACACACACTCATTGGACCAACCTCAGAAGTATGTCCCACATAAGCTACGTGTCTCAATCTCGCATATGCGGCGATCATCTCCCGTCGGCAGCCGGTGCCGGAATCTTTTAGTGCCTAATTATCTGACACCGGTGATTGGATAACAGAAAGGTCAAGAATCTAATTCAAGATTTATTTGAATATTAAATTATTAATGGTAAAAAAGAGTTTTTTTTAATGTAAATAAAATAAAATAAAATTAAAAAATAATAAATTGAGTGCGTGCTTTACCAAATTTGGAGATCCTATAAAACAGCGTTTCAGAGTTATTAGTCTCCTCTTTCATTGAATACACTGCCAGTTCCATTCTCTCTGGCCGCCAAATCACACTTATTTTCTTTCCTTTTCGCCATTGATTCGCTTACCTGTTTTAAACTTGCAAGTCCCTTATAAGTATCGCGTTCCCATTTCATCTTCAGAATCCCCTTTTCTCAGAATTCCATTTATTAAGATTTATGCTTTTGGTCAGATGAGTGAAAATCTTGACAGCCGTTGGTGAAAGCATCAAATCTTTGATGGAAGCAATGGATTTATGGCCTGTGAAATACTCCGAAAATCGACATGTCACCAAGAAACTCGTTAAACTCTCAAATCAAAAGCACAGAAAAACCCATGAAGAATTGAATTTTAATGGCCCTAGAATCGTTCGAATATCGGTCACTGATCCTTTTGCAACAGATTCCTCCAGTGATGAAGATGACGAGCTTTTCCATCGGCGGCGAGTTAAGAAGTACGTCAATGAAATCAAATTAGAACCAGCTAGTAAAAGCCATGCCAACGCCATCAGTAGCAGTTCTAATGGCAAGAAGAGTCTTCAACAAAAGAAGAAGCCGATGAAGGTGAAAGAGGCGGCGCCGGCGAATGGTGGCGTTAGAAAGTTCAGGGGTGTTAGGCAGCGGCCTTGGGGAAAATGGGCGGCGGAGATAAGAGATCCATCCCAGAAAGTTAGGCTTTGGTTGGGCACCTATGATACGGCGGAGGAAGCTGCAATGGTATATGACAACGCCGCCATTAAACTTCGTGGACCGGATGCTTTAACTAATTTCAGCCATTTTCCGGCAGAGGAGAAGCCAGAAATTAATGTGACTTCAGTTTCCGGCTACGAGTCCGGTGATGAGTCACGCAATCTTTGTTCTCCAACTTCTGTTCTCGAGTCCAGAAGTAGTCAACAGTCAAGTGAAGACCGAGCCGAACCGGTTGCAAACTTGTGCAAACCGGCTGAACCTTGTGCATCGGTTGATGGACCGGCTTTGGAAACCGGGTCGGCTAATGAACCGGTTCTGGAATTTGAAAATTATTGTTAAATCCTCATATGTCCAATATTATGGAACGCCACATGACTACTTAAAAGGAAATTTAAACAATTTGCATTGTGAATTACTGTGTAATTATACTAACAAGTTGACAACAAACTTGCTCTTTTTAAATAAACCATGGAGTAAAAATAATTCCCTGCTTATGATTTATCGTTTATTACTGTAATACTCGATAGGCCTTTAAACTATTTAAATCCCTATTTTCTGTAATTAAAATAATTTGAAGAAAAGTAAAATATAAATTTACTGATTTAATTGCTACAAACTAAAAAAATTCAAACATGGGTTTGAATTATTTTAATCCATTGTCTGTAACGTGGGGGACCCTGCCGCCAGAGCTGACTTGCGTTTCACCCCAACAAATGCATGTGTGTTAGAGATAAGAAATCATGACAATGCCCCCTTAATTATGCCTGAAATGAATAATTTGTACAGTTAGAAGTTCAAATCAGTTAAATTCAATGATTATGTCTGAAATCTTTGACATTGTTGATTAAAATCTTTTAGAAGAGAAGAGCTTTGAGTCTTTGACCATTCATTGCATAATAAAATTTGTGTCTTTTGGATCCTAGGTTTGACTCGCTCGACATTTTGACAGTTCAGTTGGGAGGACTCTTGGACTCTAACCAGTTTGGAGCACAATCCTCGATTTACCTAGTCTGCGTGAAGAAGGGTTAAATCGTAGGCCCCAAGATTAGCCGCTGTAAGACGGACACCTGGGTATAAAAAAAAAAAAAAAATTTGTGTCTTTGTAATTATTATAATTAATTTGTATAAAATCTAGATATATTGGAAACCAGATCATATTGCATGTTAAGCCCGTTTGGTACACATTAAGATAAAAATGAGAATGAAAAATATAGTCATTACGGGTCCCATACAAAAGATATAAAGTCAAATATGGTGGTTTGATGTGATGGATAACGGTCATATTTTTTTATTTTAATAGAAAAATAATGAGAAACAAACGGGGGCTAATTATTTTTGGAAAACAGAAAGGAAATGAAATTGTGCACAATAGTCTAAGAGTTTCTTAGTATAAATAATTAAATCGATAGTAAAAAATTCGTCAAATTTAAAAGTTGCCTTTTGATAATGTGTTTTCTTGTAATTAAACGCAATATGCCAAAGCTCCTTCTCATGTTGCATTTCTTTGGTTTTGAAGTTTCAAAATGTTGTCCGTGGATTTCTAACAAAGAAAAGCCCCTTACCATAACATTTTATTGATTAAAGTTCGCTCACCACTCCTTGAGGCCAAGGACGTGGTCGAACCGTACAAGGTTAAGTTTTTTTAAGTAGCTTAACCACATAAAAAAAATAAAAAAAATAATAATAATAATAAATGATAACCACCACAAAAAGCTTATTGGCATTGTGAATAACTTTAACCTTATAAACTCAATACAATATTTTTTTTGTAAATACCAATAGCAAAAATATTTGACATTAAATTAGTAAATTACTTGATTCATTGAAAATTTTCAATAATATCTTACATAAATTGGTATGTGAAATTTTCAGATCTAGATTAGGCCACGGAGATGCTGCCTTATTTTGCAGCAGTGAAATAAAGAAGCCGCTGCACAAGAAGAAGAAGAAGATGTGCGGCATCTTTTGTTCCAAATCATCACCGATGACAATTTAAGGGAAGGGATATGTTAGGTTGAGTGGCGGTGGTTGTGGTACTGATGGTATGACGTGATCTGGAGAAATTTTATTTTGATCCAATTTTTTATTTTTAGTAATTTAGATATTTTAGGAGTCTATTTCCGATTTTACTAGTTTTCTAGGTATTCTAGAATTTTATTCCATTTAAACTTTATTCTAGGTTTTTAGTATAAATATGTTTATATTTCTATATTATATTAGAAGACTTTTGATATTAAATTAATGGAGTTTTTCTCTGGAGGCTTTATGCTTCAAAAATTATCGAACTTATCGAAATGATTTCTCGTGGCATTCAACCAATCAAAGTGATATTTGTGGGTTGTGTAATCACGGGGTCAAGGTATTTTGTAATTGCTTTGGTTTCTTGATTCATTTAATTTTCGGGTCGATCTTTAAATTATCCGGGTTAGATTCATTAAATTGTGTAATTAAAAGGTATACATGCCTTATTGATTGTGTGGGTTGTTTAATCCATCGTTTTTGAGTCAAAATCCATGAACCTTATTGTTTGGAACTTTCTTAGGTTCGATTTCATTCTTCTGTGGGTTCCATAGTGTTTGTTGCTACGTGAATTCGCATCATGATAAGGGTTGAAAAAGAGGTGGGCAAGGTCACACCACTGCGAGGATGATGGTGGGAACGACATCAGCAATTGTAGTGCTAGGTTATGGCGGTGGAAGTCGTTGTCCATGGCATTAGAGATTAAAAGCGGAAAGAGATCAGTATTATGTGTTAATTTCTTGTATTTTGCCTTTGGAATAGTAAATTACAGTTTTTAAAATATTTATGTAATAAACGTTTAAAAAAAGTATATTTTAATTTAGGTTAAAAATTAACAAATTTAAGCAGGGTTATTTTAACTTTTCGAAGAAAAAAGACGAGCTTTGCCTTTGCAATCAATGTAGAGTTGACCATCTTGCCTCTATCTAAGGTGTTTTTTCTTAGCCCCGAATCCTAGCGTACCTTTTAGAATACTGATTAAAATAATAATTTTAAAATTTTATTTTCTTAGAAATTTAGTTATACGGTGTCAATTTCCAAACATCCCCAATCCGAAAAACAAAAGAAAAGAAAAAAAAATAAGGAAAAGAAAGAAAAGACAATATTAATAAAGTGAAACAGATACAGCAAAATTAAGCTTTAGAACCAGTAAGATATTTGCAGCATCAAAAATTCAAAATGTAAGATTATTTGCAAGAAAACATTTATTCTTTATGACATACTACTGTTGCAGAGGAATCATCTTCTATAATGTTAATATATATATTTTTTATTTTATTTTATTTTATTATTTTATTTATTTTATATTTTTTATCATCCGAATTCAAGTTGAGACCAAGAGGAAGGATTTCGATATATTGATAATCTACATAAAAAATTTGGTAAATGTTAATATCAAGTTCTAGCTCAAATGGTAAAAACAAAATTTTACTAAGCCAGCGACTTGTGTTGCATCTCATTCGAGGGAAGGGTGAAATTTTTTTTAAAAAAAAAATTGTTAAATGTTGTCACCTAAATCCACATATTTCCTTTGAGGCGATTTGCATTAAATTCTAAATGCAGAAAATCTTGTATTGACATGAACAAAGTCGTTAGCAGTGGATTGAGTAACGGGACTTAAAAAAATTTCAAGCCAGTAAATTTATTTTATTATTTTTTTATTCACATTAAAATTTAAATAGGCTGAGGTTGGGCTGGATAATAGTTGTCTTTAAATTTATTTGATTAAAAGATTTTCCTGTTGACGCATAAAATTTTTAGTGCAATTTGCTTCACAGGGTCTGTACCGACCCTCACACAGGGCCCACCCCTTGTGATTTTTTATTTTTATTTTTTCCAAAAATGAACAACCCATCTCACCTCATGTGTCTTATTTGTACTGTCTCTGTGAACCTCTCATTTGTACACGTAGCACGGCTCAAATTTTTATCTTCAACATCTTTTATGTGTATAAAGCTTAGCCATAATGACGATTTTTGAATCAAAGACGTGCATACTGAACATCACATTGACCTAACTTTGTCCTGAATTGAATTCGACCTAATTTCAACTATTTGTTTGTTTGTTTGTTTGTCTGTTTGTTTTTTTTTTCGACTTTCTGATCTAATGGCTGCTTTATGCAAAAGAGTGGGGAGCGGTGGTAGACGATGATGGAGCTTTGAAAATGGGACCCCCCAGACGGGCCATTGCCAAACAGCTTCTTGACACAAGGATTATACAAAATCATTATGTAATAATTTCTTCCAACTCTTTACAATTTTATTGCATCATTATCTTTTACTTCCTTCAGTGTTTATTACTCATTACTGGCTGTTCCATTGCTGTAATTGTTATTATTTTTTTATATGAGTGTTCGCCCACGCACAAAGCCAGGGCCAAGTGGCGCCCCCTTATTGGAGGGGGGGTCTGAAAGCCAGGGCTAAATACGGGGTCCATATTTAGCTCTGGCTTTGAGTCTGGACAAAAAGTATTTTTCTGATTTATTCTCTACTTTCTTTTCATTGAGAACGTCTAGAACCTTGTCAAGTGATATCTACCTATAAGATAATGACTTGTTTGACAATACTGTTCTTGAATTCTGATTTCTCATCAAAGATATCAAAGGAATTGATGTACTTGTTTAAGCTTAATGGGTCTAGCTTAAGGTTTCATTTTAGAATGTCAAATCTTTTAAAAAAATAAAAATAAAAATTCAAACTCTTATATTTAACCCAAGTCTAATAGAAATTAAAATTAGATTTTTAGCATATTTTGATCTAAGTTGATGAAATGTGTGATTGGAAAAGTTGTAAATCCTATAAAATGTGTGGTTAAAATTAATTATTGATTTTGATTTAAATTTTAATCAAAATTTTTAGCAATACCAAATTGGGTCTTAGTATATTTATTTTATTTTTTGGCCAACCTAGCCTCCTCCGTCCCTCGGGACCAATAAGGGGTAGCACAGGAATATTCACTTGTTGTCCATAGACTACACCTTTCGGCCTGATCTTAACCATCGTTAAACGGATAAAAATTACTTTAGAGATAATAGGCTGATCTTCATCGTGAAAATGGGATTGTAGAAGAGCAATATAAGAGTGTTGTTAGACGAAGCAACATGAATGATGCACCCTAAATAACGAAAATTCAGTAGTCGAAAGAATGAATCACTAGGTTACGCTCTTATTCAATAGCGGAGCCCACATGGGGACAGAGTGATTAGTTTTCACACAACAAATGCAAATTCTCTCTTGAAATTTCACAAGAGTCTGCCACTATCTTTATTTAACGTCAAATTTGTCCATAACAGACACTTCTCCCCCACACACGACAGACAA